CAGAGCGAAAGATTAAAACATATCATAGCAAATCGAAGACTAGTAAGAATCAACCGATGCGACACAAATCATCAAAATAACGAGGAACTCCAGAATCGAAGAAGGAGAACGAAAAAAGCAGAGAGAGAGAGATCGAAAAGGAGAAACGAAATCATGAGTCGATTATGTTACCTGGGAGCGAGGAAGGTGAGAGAGCCACGGTTGGTGGTGGTCGCCGCCAAACCCTGCATAATTTCTTCTCCGGCGAGAGAACCTTCGAGGCTTTAGGGTTTTGATATTAAAAAATCAAAAAAAAACAAAGAAAAAAACAAAATCGGTGAGACAGAGAAAACTTTACGTGCAAGAAATATGAAGCTACCTGATTTTGACGAGGTGGCTATATTTTATTTAGGTCGGTTTTAGTGAAAGTACTCCACCTTATTGGGCCTTTATTCATAAAAGCCCAAATATCACAAATTAGGCCGGTTTTTGCTAATGAAAAACTAATAGTGAAATCCATAATCTGCCAAATTTGTATAATAGTGTTTTTTTTGGTTTCTCAAATCTCAGATACGGTAAGAATTCGCTCGTACGCCAGATGATCTGCATTGCTGTTTCTAAAAGCATTCCCATAATCATATTATATACCTAAAGTAATGAGGCAAGTTTCTGTTCTTCACCACCCAACGTAAACCCTAGGACGCAATACACCATGAATAACTTTTGTTAGTTGTTAGCTGCTCCTGGGATCATGTTTATGATCGTTTCTCCAATGGCACCGCCGTGTTGGTCAAGAAAAGGTTTCATGTAGAAACCGAATTCACTCATTTTGAGGGATATCAAATAAGGTACACAAGCCATGATCATCCAAAACCATTCAGGTCTCTCTTCGGTTTTTGGTATATTGAATCTTGAAAAGTTCTTATCTCCGTAATATGCTGTCACAGTCGCAGGATTTCTTGGTCTCTCATTTCTTCTCGAACGGAGAGGAGCCAATGGTGGCAGACCAAAGAGCTGGTTGGATGATGCAAAGTCCACATGCGTATTTGCTATATACATATTTGAGGGATAAGTTTTCATTTGTGAGGAGTTTTAAAAACAAGATTCAATATTCGATTACATAATAATGTACCTAAAAGAGGAACAATCGGTCTTTGTGAACTTGAGCTTACTGACAATCTTAATTTGGGGATTGTACCAACGTTGGAGGAACACACTCTTGATGGTTTCACGTATTTCTTTAGATATGGTCTCTGATTCCTGCTATATGGAATTATAATGACCACAAAACACATGCATCTATATTTTTTTTATTTTTTTTCTAAGCACAACAAATTAAACTATGTAATACACTATTAATAAGCGCTATCATAGCAATGATTTTCTTCTAATAGCACTCTACAAAAATTGGAAGAATTTAACAAAAATAAAAAATCACATAATACAAATGCAAAGAAGGCCAAATTCACTCTCTGCATTAGAAATTAAACGAAATCACATGGATTGTGTAGCCAAGGATTGAGTACGAATCCCTATAGAATAGACGGTTAAAAAAATAGGGTGAACGACATTTGTTTTCCAGAAAATTTCATACAGTACCACAACTATAAAGAATTCAAATCTCTATCTCAGAATCTACAAAATGAAAATTAAAGTCTAATTTGGAAAGTTCGAATCCTTGGTCCTCATAATTTCGAATTTTATGGTTTATTTTTGGTTTATTGTACCAAACTCGATGCCAAACCAAAACCAAATAGACTAAACCGAATTAAAATCTGATTAGAGTTATCACAACCCAAAATAAATACCGAATGTTATTATTTAACATTAAAATATAATTTAATTTAAATAATTATTTTAAAACGTTTTAAAATTTAAAAAATACATCTCTTTTGTTTTTTTTTTTTTGAATATCTGGAAGTTTAAGTGCAAAAACCCTACATCTCCCAGAGAGACGGGACCCACACCAAATTATATTATTGATATTAAATAATAATATTTTGTATTTATTTTAGGTTGTGATAATTTGAATCGGTTTTAATTTGGTTTAGTGTACTTGGTTTTGGTTTGGTATCGAGTTTGGTACCGTAAACCAAAGATAAACCATAAAATTCGAATCTTTGGAGACCAATTATTCGAGAGATAAAGGTTCAAATTTTATATAGTTGTGATGCTATATGAAATTTCCTGAAAAGATACAGGTCGTTCACCCAAAAAAATATTTTCAAAGAGCTAGAGTTAACATATAGAAATCTATAGTAAATCGAAAAATCCTATAAAAAAAAGGGCGAGAAAACAAAATCAACGAAAAGTTTTAAAAAAAACAGAAAGAAAAATTAAACAAAAAAAAAAACCTGAAAGCTAGATATGTTAGTAACTTTGACGAGATAGCATTATATGTCGGCTTTTATAACCTTTCAGAGCAAAACAGATACCACAAAAATAGTTTCTCGAAGGATGAAATCATAAATATTACACTATTTTTATTCGAATTTATGCCTATATATATTAGGGAAAAAAAAAACTCTTGGAGGAAGGAATGTTAAAGAGACGCAATCGGTGGTTGTGGCCATAGTTTCCTCGCCGGAAAGTCCAGAGCTCTTGAGGTTTTAGGGTTTTTGTAAAAAATTAACCGAATACAAATATATGTAGTATTATCATAAAATCAAGCCAGTTTACAATATGTACTGATTACGAATAGGCAAATCAATTAGTGGGGTTAGTTTCGACATTTTAATTTCGTAAATAAGATGAAAATAGATTTACAAAAACCAAAATAAGATGAAAATATAGTTGTAGGCTTAACAATGAACCCATGACTCTCTTTGAATATATAAAGAGGATAACAAGAGATACATACATATTATAAAAAAAAAACTATTATTTCAACCAAGAAAGAACTATGACAAAACAACACATGCCCAAGCAAAATTCGCAAATTCTTAGCTTACAATAAAAAAGAAATAATTCTTTCAAAACAACGAAAGAGTAGTAGAGCAAGGTTCTCAAAACCTGCCAATTGAATGTGGCACAGATTACATGAATCAGACGATAGATTCCTGCCATTACGAACACCAAACTGTCAACAAGGCACCATATGCAACTAAAACATAACACCATCATATAGGACATCCCTAACCGTTCATTGAGTTTAATCAATGGGAAGAAGTCGTTAATTGCGAACAGAAGCATTCCAATGATTATGTTAAAAGTCAAGAAAAGTCTCTTTAGCAATACGTTTGCTGCTATTGATGGGATCGAGTTTCCATCTTTAGATGCTCTCAGTGTACTCACAGGCTTTGTTAGCCTCCGGTCATGAACAAATATTTGGTTGAAAGGTGATGGTGATGCAACGTCCACATCTGCAGATATTCAGTATAGTAAATTAATTAAAAGAGTCATCCATTACAAGACAAGTTTTCAATATTGACAATAACTTAGTAGTTATTACCTAGAAGAGGAACAATCTTTCTTTGCAAACTCGAGATTATTGTCAATCTTGATTTTGGGAATGGTGAACCAAAGTTGGAGAAACAACATAAGCTTGTTGGTTTCAAGTGTTTCTTTAGATATGATGGACTTTGGTTCCGGCTTTATTTGTTTATGAAAACACATCAATTCCATTAAAGGCTATGCAGGGATAGTTATATTAGGGACAATGTCCCACATCGGAAGTTGAGTAGGATCTTAAGTGGTATATATAAGATATGGACCTCTCCACCTATTGCCAATTGGTTTTAGGTTGGAAACCCACACAGTCTAATATGGTATCAGAGCCCGATCCGTACATACTCAACCCGATCCACATCGGTCCGGCCCAATACTTGGCCCGCCGATCCATGTCCAAACATATCGAGATCAATGGCTAGAAGAGCCATCATCTCGAGGGGGCGTATTAGGGACAATGTCCCACATCGGAAGTTGAGTAGGATCTTAAGTGGTATATATAAGATATGGACCTCTCCATCTATTGTCAATTGGTTTTAGGTTGGAAGCCCACAGTCTAATAAGTTATACACTAGTAAAAATTCATACATGTAAATAATTTTAACAAAACTGACGATTTAATCTTTAAAGCTTTTCTCTAATCTACGAGCGAATAAAATCAACTCATTCCACAGAAAAACGAAGAAGCCGATGAGTAAAACGGTGATAAAAACAGTTCAAAAATGAATGATCCAAATCGGAATTGGAAAACGCAGAAAAATAGAAACAAATGATGAGAGGAGAAAAAACCTTGAGGCTAGGAATGTAAGAGAGATACGATCGGTGGTTGTCACCATAATTTCCTCGACGGCGAGAGGTTTTAGGGTTTCGGAATAAACAAAATTAGCGAGTAAAAAAATAATACTAGTAGTATTATCATGAAAACCAAGCCGGTTTACAATAATACCGATTACGAAAAGGCAAATCAATTAGACGTGGGGATAGTTTTGACACTGGGCTTTCGTATTGTCAAATTTGAAGATGGGCTTTTGTACAAAGCCCAAATACTACAACATTCGGTTACATTAAACCGACAACAACGGAAAGGAAAGTCAATGAACGAGGGTATATTCGATATTTCAGAGACGGTGTTTTAGGGCTAGAGTACTCTCTATATAACAGCCGCGTTGATTCATATTCACAAATCATTCTCAACCTCACGATAGCTTTTAATTTAGGTTTCTTCAGTTTTGTTCTAGATTCATAGATTTAGGGTTTCTGGTTACATAGATTTTCGCAGGAGCCTCCCGGGCTAATCTGATAATAATTCATGAAGAATTAAGCCCCAAAGCTCCTGCTAGATTGATGCCATTCGTGTTGCAGTTCTGTCTCTTTTTATAATCCGGCTTAACTGTGTCAAAGCAATGTCTAGATTTTGTTTTTCTCTGTGATGAATTTGTGTTTTTGGGCTATGATTACAAAATTATCCGCGCTTCTGAGATTTAGGTCTATGAAGTATATACGATAATCAATGGTTGAATTTCTTAATATGAGCCTCTTAAAGTTTCTTCTTTGTTGTTTTTTTTGTTTGTATTGAAGGGCAGTGATGATTAAAACCAGTTCTGCTTCAGATAATTCCTGATCGAAGAAACTGTATACCAAAAAACTTCTGAGCCTTTTTTGTGATTTTTGTATTTGTTTTTGTTGGCTGATGATGATATAATCCAATTTCGAGGTGCAGTGGAGCTGAGACCCTGTTTTACAGGGAGAACCCCTTGGCAGAAACTGCAATTTCTGTGAAGTTATATGGATTTTGACTGAGGCTTTTTATTACTATCTTACACTTAGTTTTGGTTTGAATTGACTGAGGCTTTGATGGTGAATTCAATAGGTCTGTACTACAAATCTACGATGGATAATACATCAAAAATTATTAAAACTGTTTTGATTTGATTATCTCATTAATTGGATGTGTACCATAAGTTTGGTCTCTGTTAAGTGATAATCCAAACAATTGTTTAACAAAATCATCAGACGAACAAGTCTAAACCATGAGATTTCATTATTACATGATGAATGACTAATTATTTGATCTCGACTAATAATTTTTCAATGAACGGACTGTGTAAACTTTAGATACCCTCAGCACATTTAATTTAACTAAAGTTATATATATCTACAAAATTTAGGTTGGAAAATTTTAGTTTAGAACCTCAGGCCCGTCTAATATAACAAAAGGCCTAATATTTGTACAAATTTAGTTTGGGAAACTTTAGTTTAGAACATTAGCCCATTTATTATAACCAAAGGCCCAATATATGTCCAAATCTAATGTAGGCGTAAATATATATGCATTAATTGTTCTTATGGGTGACGGTGACGGTTAACACTCAATTTTTTTCTTTCAAATCTCTTCAATGCTTCGGCTCGTTCACTCTGGCCAAAGTGCCAGTAGACGTCCAGAGTCTTTGTTTGCGTTAATTAATATGATGCATAATGTAGAATGGTTCTTAACACTACAAAGTTTCTTGAATCCTATCAAATATTTTTTTATTATGTTACATACAAAATAATTCTGATGTTAATGATATGTATTTTTGATTTGGGGTCTTTGTTTTGGCATATAAAGGGTATTAATTGTTTGAAGATCCATTGTTAAATGATTATAAAATACGTATAAACAACACATCTACTTTATTATTCTACATGTGCATTATTTGGAATTCAAGATAATCAGGCAAGGGGATCCTCTTTCACCCTACCTCTTCATCATTTGCACAGAGGCTCTAATAGCTAGGATTAAGCAAGCAGAGTGGTTTGGCAAAATTCAAAGGTTTCATCTCTTCCGAGCTAGCCCCCCGGTCTCTCATCTTCTCTTTGCGGATGATAGTCTTTTCTTTTGCAAAGCTGACTGTCAACAAAGCTCTGAGATTATCTCCATTAGCCGTCAGTATGGCGAGGCTTCGGGACAACAAATCAACTTCTCCAAATCTTCGGTCATGTTCAGAAGTAAGATCCAACCTCAGATGAAGTCTGACATTAAGCGGATCCTAAGAATCCACCAAGAAGGCGGGATGGGTACATACCTAGGACTTCCAGAACAAATTCACGGATCTAAAGCTCAAGTTTTCGCTTTTGTCCAAGATCGCTTGAAAAGCAGGATTAATACTTGGTCATCAAAATTCCTTTCAAAAGGTGGTAAAAAAGTCCTTATTAAATCAGTGGCCCAAGCCCTTCCGACGTATGTAATGTCGTGCTTTCTCTTACCAAAAAATATTCGGTCTAAACTAACCAGTGCAATCTCTAATTTCTGGTGGAGTAATAACCAGGAGAGCAGAGGTCTCCATTGGATCGTCTGGGACAAGCTGTGTTTGCCTCTATCTGAAGGAGGTTTAGGCTTTAGAATGTTGGAAGAATTTAATTTAGCTCTTCTCGCCAAACAGTTGTGGAGACTAGTACGTTACCCTAACTCTTTACTCGCTCGCGTTTTAAGAGGTCGGTACTTCCGCTACCAGAGCCCCCTCCACGTCAAGCCCTCATATCTACCCTCATATGGATGGCGTAGTATGCTTGCGGCTAGATCCCTTCTGTTGTCTGGCCTTCGGAAGAATATCGGCTCCGGGTGGGACACAAAAGTTTGGAGTGATCCTTGGATCCCAACGCTACCAGCACGCCCAGCGACAAGTAAATTGGTAACAACGAATCCTAATCTCTATGTTAATGAGCTGATTGATCAGTCCTCTAAGACTTGGAACATTGCCAAGCTGCAAGAACTGATTGTCCCAGAAGATATTCCCCACATTCTAGGGCTACATCCGAGTTTGTCATTCTCGAGAGATTCTTACATTTGGGCCTTTACAAAGTCTGGCAATTACTCTGTCAGATCCGACTACTGGGCAGCGAAGGCTTCCCCACGAGAAGATTGCGACCTCCCTTTTCAGGGACCTAGTGTCAAGGCACTTCAGGCGCAATCATGGAAAATCTAATCCTCCAAAAAAATTAAACACTTTCTCTGGCAAACTGCCACGGGATGTCTGGCAACCTGCCAACGACTTGTTGATAGTCATTTAGGAACAGACAAGGTCTGCCCCCGGTGCGGGATGTGTGACGAGTCTATTAACCATGTCCTATTTGAATGTCCCCCCGCTTTTCAGGTTTGGTCGCTCTCCCGTATCCCTCTTATTCATGGTGTCTTCCCTACCTCCTCGATTTTTGCAAATCTTGATCATCTCTATTGGCGAGTGAAGGAGTTGGGTGGAAGTGAGGACTCTATTAGAGACTTCCCATGGATTATGTGGTTTATTTGGAAGGCACGTGATTCAAAAGTTTTTGGGAATATAGATACCCACCCTGCAGATACGCTACAATTCGCCTGCAGCGAAGCTGAGTCCTTCCGTGTGGCTAGAGCTCGAGATGCGTTTCTTGACATAGCTCCTACCTGCCTAGAGCCACCCGTAAGCCAGCTAGACTCTAGCCCTCCTGCTTGTCAGATCGACGGCTCTTGGGTACAAGGCTCCTCCCTCAGCGGCATTGGATGGATTGTTGGTTCAGATCGACGCTTCTCTAATCTTGGGTTAAAAAGTATTCGACAATGTTTATCTCCTCTACATACGAAGTTCGAGGCTCTCCTCTGGGCAAAGCGATCCCTTACATCCTTATCCATTACAGACATTACTTTTGAGACAGATTGCAAGGAGTTGACGCAGCTTTTGGACACTCCTGATGAGTGGCCCGCTTTTTCTTCTGAGTTAGAAGATTTTTATTCTTTAAAGCCTAGCTTTCCTCGTTTTTCTTTATCTTTCATTCCACGTTTAAATAATGCCCGTGTTGATTGTCTTGCTAAGAAGGTAAGAGCACGAGGTTCTATTTTTTCCCATGTAAGCTCTTCTACCCCGGACTGGTTTTCTCTCAAAGAAAACCGCCCGTTTTTAGCTTAAATGGATGACCTTATTTTGCCGTCAAAAAAAAAAAAAAAAGAAATTCAAGATAATTGAATGTAAACATACTTAATGTTAAACAAAGCATCACTCATCAGGGAAAAGCGGATTTTCATACCTGTACTTTGTTCTATTTTCATACCTAAATAATTTTGTAGGGTGTTTTACAACCTAAATTTTAATATAATTTGAATCTAATACCTAATCTTTATAAAATGTGCAAAAATCAGAGTAAATCTAACGGATGTTAGTCACCACCGTTACGTGCACGATGACATGTCTTTAAACAACGTCGTTTTGATATGTCATCTTAATGTTAATTTTTTTGTTGCAAAATTGGGGGATTCAAACCCGTGATCATTTGCTCTACGGGAAGCATCAAATACCAATTGATTCCACAACGTTCATCGAATATATTTCAAACGTTTTAACTTATAAACCTGCAAGGTTCTGATCCCTAATTTTGCAACAAAAAAAATTAACATTAAGACGACATATCAAAACGACGTCATTTAGAGACACGTCATCATGCACATATACGATGACTCCGCACTGTAACGGTGTTGACTAACATCCGTTAGATTGACTCTGATTTTTGAATAAATTACGGTATGAAAATCCCCTTTTCCCTCACTCATCACATTATAAACATAAAACACCTACAATTTTTTACAATGTGCTCTCGCAAGTCTCTGAACGATAAAATAAGTAGTCTATGATCATATATTTTCCATTTAGACCGCAAGAGAAAATGGTTAAGCAAATAACCAAAATTAAAAACAAGAGAAGGTAAAAAAAAAAGAAGAAAAAAAAGTTATTATCAACTCAGAGAGCTAAAAAACCGACCCTTTTTCATCATTTGTCTAAACTCCATGTAATTAACCCTACCATCACCATCAACATCCACTTGCATTATCATCTTCCTACATTCCTCCAAGGTCTTACCTTGCTTGAGTCCCAAGGAAGATAAAACCGCCTTCAATTCATCCACCGTTATAAACCCATCTCCGTTCCGATCAAATACGTTGAACGCTTCCTTCATATCTTCTTCTCCTACCTCGTCCTCATCTTCTACCATTATCGTCTTGTAGAGCTCTCCAAACTCTTCAATGTCAACACAACCGTCACCATTAACATCGATCTTTTGGATAATTTGTATTAGTTCGTCTTCGGGTATTATGATACCGAGGTTCTTGAATGACTCGTTCAGCTCCTTCGTAGTGATCTTCCCGTCTCCGTCCTTGTCAAACATTTGGAACACACGGTTCAGCTCCGTGGAATCCATTTGTTTTAATAAATTTAGGGTTTTTTGAAGGTTGCGTGTGGAGGAAGAAAATGTGAAAAAAGAGAATGATGAGACTCCTAGAAGCCGAGAAAGAGGTCTTTCTTGGCCTCTTGGAGACCCGATGAGGGTAGTTTCAGAAACCAAGGAGAATGTTAAAGAGAATTGGTGGAAAATCTTAGCCAAAAGCTCGAGGTAATAACATGTAAATGGGACAAAAATAGGAGAGATAGAGAAGGATTTGTTTTATTGTTGGTTGAGAGGAAATGTTGGGTCTTTTAAAGGAGACTTGTGGCTTTGTATCGAAGTCTTATAAAAGTTGATCGGTTCTATATAACTTTCAACCCAAAAAACTAAATTTTATTCTTAGAAAAATAAATTTACTAATATTTTTTCATAGCCGAACAAATAAGATTCTAAACATCAATTCTAACCAAAATACTTATTTTACTTTATCATAG